AGGACAGGGAGACACCAAGTCAGCCAAGATCCAAGTATTGGAACAAGATTACTGGAAAAATTATGCCTAAAAAGACTGTTTTGCTCCCACAGGCTTTGTGAAGGTTCACATAGGGGTGCAGACTTATGTGAGAGGCAGCTTGAGAATTTAGGACGTGCTAATAGCTATAGGCTACAAAATAAGGAAAAGATAAAGCAGCGCTGATCCACAATCTTTTAGCTATAAGAACGAAGGATAGTTGGTGACTTCACTACAACAGTTTTAGAACTGTCCATCCTTCTCTGAAAGAGGAAATAGTCAATAGTTACACAGATTTTTTAGCCTTATTTCCTGTCTTTCCACAGGCCTTATTTCCTGTCTCATCATCGATCATGAAGGCATCCTCAAAGGGTCTTCTCACGAAGATTTCTCAGTTCTGGAACCTCCTAGATGATTTGGCTGAAAGCGATCCTGAGCGCTACAAGAACTTCATTCAGCAGGAACTGAAAGATGGAAAACAGCTCTGTGTTAAGCCAAAACCATATCTCTGTGTAGAGACAAAGATCCTGGTACGTAAAGCTGGTGCAAGGGATGGAGAGGTTTTGAATAAAATTATCCTAGAGTAACCAGAGAACACCTTATCTTTGCTACTGCTGCGTTAACACAAGAAAACAGAGAATGAAACGGTGTGGAAGATTTTGTCAAAGGAGTAAGAACAGGAAATTCATACTTAATATTTTGGAAATCTCCAACCAAGCCATTTTTTTGTGCCAAATGGAAAATTTTTCTTTCTTGAGCTAAGGATGTGGCTCAGGTGGTTAAGACCACTTGCAGTCGGTCCCCAGGCTCAAGTTCCAGAACCCATATGACGGCTCTGTCGCCCTCTTCTGGCCTTCATGAGCACTACACATATACCAGTCTACCAGGCAATCAAACGTGTACAAATATTTCTTTCATTATTCTATGTAGTGGTCTGTGTGCACACATGCCAGAATGTACATGTGAAGGTTAGAGGACAAGTTTGGGCAGTTGGTCCTCTCCTTCCATCATGTGGAACCTCGGTATAGAACTCAGGTCGTCAGGATTGGAGACAGAAGTCATAACCCACTGAGCCCCCTCACTGGCCCTTAGGCAATGATTTAATGAGACTCGTGGAGTTGGAGATTTTCTTGTTAGATAAATAATGAAGTGATGAAATAGGTGAAAAGCACATAGACAACTGCTTACTTCAGTTCCCCCTTCTGCCAAGTTCCCCTAGAAAAGGGCAGTAGTTGGATTTATAATGAAAAACGAACAGCTTTGTGGAAATCAAAACAAAAATGTAATCAGAAAACAAAAATATAGCTCAGTGGTAGAATGCTTGCCTAGCATGTGGGGCTCTGGGTTGGATTTGATTCCTGGCACAACAAAAGTCAGGCCAAATAATCTGCTTAAAATATTTGTAGGATTTCAAGGTATCCAGTGAGCAGTGACTAAAATTCTCCCTCTATCTGGAGATACAGTTCAGTAGTAGAGCACTTGCCTAGCATGCGTGAGGGCCTGGGGGGAAAAAAGTGAATCGCCTATAGGATATCTTCAAATTTCATTCTAAAAACTAGGTTTTGTAATATCAAAATTATCCATTTTCTAGAAACCAAAAGAAAAAACAATTTTTATCAACTTATGTCAGTGGGAAAGGATCCCTGCCCCCCAGTCAACTACTCATCCTGTACCTATAAGTGTTGGCAGACCACAGGATTTCTCTCAAGCATCAGGTACAAAGAATTAAAGGAAAGGAAACACCTTTAATTTTGTGAAATTTTTTATTTTTATTTTGTGTGTGTGGGTGTTATGCTTGCTTGTATGTAGGAGCACCTGGGTTGTGCAGTGCCCATGAAGGACAGAAGAGGGCATCAGATCCCCTGGAACTGGAGTTATGGACAGTTGTTAGCTGCCATGTAGTTCCTGGGATTCATACCCAGGTCTTCTGCAAGAGCAGCCAGTACTCTTAACTGCTAAGCCATCTCTCCAAACCATTTTTTTAAAATTTCTTACTATTTCACATATGTTTGCTTGCATGTGTAAGTGCACATGCATGCAGTGCCTGTGGAGGCCAGAAGAGGGGGTCAGATCCCCTGGAACTGGAATTGTAATAAGATAGTTGTTAGCTGCTATGTGAGTGCTATAAAGTGAACCAGAGTCCTTTGCAAAAGCAGCCATTGCTCTTAACTGCTGAGCCATCTCTCCAGCCCCAGCACCTTTTAATTTTTCTTTTTCAATCCTTTTGAGACAGTCTTCCTGTAGCCCTGGCTGGCCTATAACTCCTTATGTAGACCAGGCTGGCCTTGACCTCACAGAGGTCCACCTGCCTCTGCCTTCCAAGTGCTGGGATTAAAGACATGTGCCACTACGCCAAGCCTCACCTTTTAATTTTTTAAGGGGCATACTCATAGACCAAATTTTACTTGGTAAAAGCATTTTAAGCAAAATATTGCATTTGGTGGGAACATAATTAATGACAAATTGGTGTGGTTTATGCAGACTTTATGCTTTTTCTAATAATGAGCTGCTTTTTACCCACATAGAAATGCCAACCAATGTCCTAGTGTTGATAGTGCCATTGTGATTGCTCTAAAAATACAGGAATAGGATTTGTATCTTCTAACTTTAATAATATGGGTTAGTACATTGCCTGACAAGAATCACTGGCAAAAGAAGCTGTTTTGACAGCAAACCTTCTGAATTCCACACAGATGCTTATACAGTCATTGATGTTGCCTACAATCCTGGTATTCTACAAGCAGCAGAAAAAGATCAAAAGATCAAAGATCAATTAATAAAGATGGCCATGCAATGCATTGAGGAGCGACTTGGGGTCACTCTTTCACATTCTTACCATGTTACCAAATTTAGAATAAAAGGAAGCCTTCAAAGAATGAAAGATAATCTGATGGGCATCCACAATAACGTCACAGACTTAAACGAGAAAATGAAAACAGGTAAGTTGATTAATGTAAATTGGAAATAAACTGATTTCACTCCTTTGAAATCTGTACGTTTTTCAAACCAGAACCTGAGCTCCGCCTGGCTGGCTGGCGGTGCTCGGTTTAGAATAAAAGAATGAGAAACTTCAGAAAAATGTATAGCTATGAGAAATATTAAAGTATCCAAAAGATTTCAAAATCCGCAGATTTTCCAAGCAAATTACTCGGCTTGGCTTGAGGTTGGTTTTGGGTTTTGTTTTTTTTGTTTGTTTGTTTGTTGTTGTTGTTGTTTTTTGCTTTTTCTCTTCATTTTGCTGTGCTGGGAATCAAATCCAACCCAGAGCTTCACACATTAGGTGAACATTCTACTACTGAGCTACATCCCAGACTCTTAAGATTTTGTAGGGGTTAATATTTCCAAACCAATTTAGTTGCAGTTTTACCATCTCAGCGAACACTACATGCCTTACAGCAGCAGTTTGATGCATTTTGTCTCTCCTCCTCTTCTTTCCCCCATAAAGAACATGCTCTTGAAAAGACAAGGTGCAGTACTGTGAGCCAACCAAGTCACATTCCTCAACTGCTGTTGCCAAAAAAAAACGTTTCAGGCAAAGCACAATGTCTTATAGAAGAGATTTCTAGTACGGAAATCCACGTGGAAGTGAAGAAACCAGCCTACCAATTAAAAGTTGTAAAGGATCAGCATGAGAAACCTCTGAAAATTGAATTGAAAGTTGAATTACCTGGAATTAACTCAGTCTCCCTCTGTGATCTTAGTGTTTCTGAGGTAAGCTGAACAGATAATATAGTAGTCCTTTGGCCCTTTGGTATGGGGGGGGGTGGTCCAGGAGATCCTGCAGATAGGAAATTCCATGGATGCCCAATCTTTTATTATTTGCAAATAACATGTAGTTCCTACCATATACTTCAGATGACTTCTAATGTTGAACACAATGCAAGTGCTATGTAAATAGCTGTGTGTTCATCAACTTTTCATAACTACAACAGACACCCAAGATAACTTAGAAAAGTTTTGTTAGGGGTTCAGAGTCCAGTACTCATTCCAGTAGCTGTTTTTAGGCCTGTGTCAAGGTACTACATCATACTGATTGTAGCAAAGCCATTCATTACTCATGGCTGTGGAGACCAGGGTCCTACAATCCACTTCAGGGATACACCCCCAATGACCTAGAGACTTCCCACTAAATCCCACCTCCTTAAGGGGCTGCCACCCCCCAGTGCCATTTCCATTTGTGGGGGGGGACCCACATAGAGCTTTGGGAAACAGTTAATATCCAAAGAGTGCCAAGCTATTTGACTGCATCATTTAGGGAATAATGTGAGGAAAATAATCTGATACATGTTCAGTATAGATGCAACCATTGTAAGCCTAACAACATTTCCAATCCAAAGTAGGTTGGATTCACAGATGTGGAACCTTCAGATAGAGGCAGCTGTCTAGTAAATTTTTATCTGTATTATGCTATAGTAGGAATAAACTCCTAAATTTCAGAGTCTTATGGTAATTTGCTCAGGGTGCATCTCAGCCAGGCCTGCTCTGATCCATGAACTTTGTACATTTTGAGACCCAGGTGAAGCAGTAATTTCCAAAATCTAAGAGATACCATTCTCACGGCAGAGTGAAACAGAAATGGCCAGCCCAAGTAACAGACCTAAAAGTCCCATGTATACATAGTATGTTATCACTTCTACTTGCAGTCCATTGACCAGAGTGTATCACAAGGCAAAATTTAACTTCATTTGAGGTGGGCATGGTGGCACATGCCTTTAATCCCAGCACTTGGGAAGCAGAGGCAGGCTGATCTGAGTTCGAGGCCAGCCTGGTCTACATAGTGAGTTCCAGGCAAGCTGGGGCTACAGGGAGACCCTGTCTCAACCCCCCCCCAAAAAAAAAACACATCAGCAGGTCTGGGTACTATACTGGGAACTATATTTTCAGAGAATTCCAGAGTCACATGGCGAGATGTATGTAATGACATGGGAAGACAAGTGATCTATTTTGTCAACTCCATCATAAAGTGAGAGAAAAAACATGTATAGTCTCACTTCAGAAATGGTCAAAAGCCTGAGGCACACTGCAGCTCCTGGGGAGCAGACACTGTAGTATGCAAACCCTGTGAAAGCCCCTGCATGGAGCTGAAGCATCTTGTTTCCAGCCCTTGAGGTCTTGACCACCTACCTCCCCACTCCAGTTCTGTCATGACTTTCAGTTCCATTTGGGGGGAAGCTGTTCCTCTTTCAGCATCCACATTGGCCACATCTAAATGGTTATTGTAGAATATGCCATTCTTCTGTACTCAAGAGTCTTTCTCTGCAGATCCCAGCTTATGGAATGTTGAGGGCCCAAGTGGTTTAAAATTTGAAGCCGTTCCTTTTAGCCCAGTTTCTAGTCAAAGACTTGGCCTATCTCTAAACTTTTAATTTCTAGGTTGGTATATAAAATAATGTTTCATCATGGCATCTTCATCTCTAACATAATTGCTGTCATCTTAGCTAAACAGGGGCTTTACTGAAATCCACCTTAGTCCACTCAGAGGTTTTAACAAGTGGCACTTAATCAGCCTTTGTTGATAAAAGCAATTTCTTAGTTTTATCCTTTTCTGAATTAGTGCCATTGTTCAGCCTTTAAGTGTTGGAATCTAGGGGCTCTATATACTATTGTCTGCACTTTTCTTGTAGTACCTTGTGAAATGTACCCAGTAGCAGCACACAGGCTCACTTCTTGACCTAAAGCCACACATCAGCTGAGCACTTTGTTTGCCTCCCAAGTTATCAAGCTAGCTTCACTAAGGGTTTACCACCATAAAGCATAGATGACTGCTTCTCAGGCCCCAGTACATTTCCACCATTTGATAGTAAGCACCAAAGACAATACCATGTAACACTGTATTTCCAGTACCATTATCAGTTAACATTTGATATGCTGAACAAGAAAAACCACTATCTCAAGAACTTGCAAGAGACATTTATTGTTCACTGTAAGTCACTTGATAATAACTAGTCTTCTTCATGCGAGAATGAACATAGTAGTCTAAGAGCATAAACTTTAAGAAATATTTTTCATGCTTTAAAAGTTTGTTTATTCTTCATAGGTTGATTTACTGATTGAAGTCTCTGAGAAGTACCGGTTATACCTGAATCTTCCAGAATCTGTTGACACAGAAATGACTACAGCAAAATTTGTCAAAGATAAATCTGTATTAATCATTACAATGCCACTGGTATAAAACAGTTTCATTTGGGGTTTTCATTACTACAACTCATGTGAATTATAGGACATTATGGGCAGAAAGTGGTTTATCTGTGTTTTCTAAAGAGTTCTTTTTGATGGAATGAGATTTTCCTTTCACCTCATAGATTTTAATTTTTGTTGTTTTTGTTTGAGTTACAGTCTCCCTGTAGCACCAGGTGGCCTGGAATTCACTATGTATAATTCCAGGGTGGCCTCTATTTCACAGAGATCCACAAGCCTCTGCCTCCCACTGGGATTAAATGTGTGCACCACCACACCCAGCAGTTTTTAATTTTGGGGGTAGGGTCTGGCCTAAGTTTGCTACATACCTGAGGATGATCTTGAACTACTGATCTACCTCCTAAATGCTTGGATTATAGGGATATATCTATTTTTAATTTATTTTGCTTTACTCAAATAATTTTGCAGGACTGGAGAGATGGCTCAGTAGTTAAGAGTATATACTGCTTTTACAGAGGAACCAGCTCTGTTCCCAGAACCCACTTTGGGTAGCTCACAACCATCCCTAACTCCTGCTCAAGGGGATCTGACACCTTCTGGCCTCCATAGACACCTGCACTGAGAGGCACAGATACACACATCTATAGGCACAGAGGCAGGCATGTCTCTGTGAGTTTGAGGCCAGCCTGGTCTACCTAGTGACCAGCTGGGGCTACAGGGAGACCCTGTCTCAGAAAGACCAAAATAATATTAATAATAATGAATAAATAAATAAATAAATAAACTTTGCATCAGCCAGAAACTTAAAATACAGCAGCCATGAGCCACCTGTTTTAAAGATGTTTGTAGCTATCTTAAATAAAAATTCATGCTGGAAAATTCCAATTGTTTCCAAGCAACAGGAGCTCTTGGTTTACTGCTTTAAAATTTAAAAAAAAAAAAAAAAAAGGATTTCTTAGGCCAGACATGATGGTGCATGCCTTTAATTCCAGCATTTGGGAGGCAGAGACAGGTAGAAAACTGATCAAGGCCAGCCTGGACTACTTAGTGAGTTCCAAGCCAGCTGGGCCTACAAGGAGACCCTGTCACAAAAGGCAAAAAAAAAAATTCTTGTAAATTTTTAGATAAAGAGAAAACAAAGTTTCTTATCACCAGGATAGGCTGTGGCAGAAAGCATCTTCCAGCAAAATACGGGGCCAAACATAATAATATTCAAGTCTGTGCTTCTGTATGTCAACAAAAGCAGTTCTTCCAGCTACCAGCCAGACCTGAGTATCAAAAAAGGACTTGCCTATGGGTTGGATATGACAGAGTATTTGAATATTATTGCACAAGACAGGCAACATATATTTATTCCTAAACAGAAAAAAAAATGACTTTGAGCAAGTACTTCTATAAGATAAAGTGATGTACTTTTGATCTTCCATTCATCTCTTCTAAGCTGTCAAATAAAAAAGTACCAACTATACCATATATAAAGTTAGCAACAGACAAATCAAACTAAACATCCCTTTGCCTTTTCTGGATTGAACCCAGAGCCTCATGGATGCTAGGCTAGCAGCACTCTACCCACTCAGCCATACTCCAGCCCTGTTATGTACAGAGAGAAAGCAAATGTCATTTTCTTAAGTCTGTCTGGACTCAAATTCTACTAGCAAAGGGATCACTTACCTGCTGAAAACATTCTCAAGTGTTATGATGTTCTAAAATTAATAAACCTGATTATAGTCTCATCCTCCAATACACCTGGTTGCCTTCACCAGTAACAGCCAAAACACACTTCCTAGAAAATACCCCTACCCAATCATACAAAACTACCCTACCCAAGCATACAAAGCTCTACCTATCATTTTATTTTACATTTTTTTACATGTATTTAGTGTGCATATGCTCCCACATGCACATATGCCACACAGCAATCTGTGAGGATCAGAGAACATCCTCTCCTATCATTTGGGTCCCAGCAATGAAACTCAGGCTTGGCACCAAGCACCTTACCCAGTGCACCATCTTGCCAGTCCTGAACCAATCTCTACTTTTGCCTTCAACACAGAGGTGCTACTTAAGTTACTTTGTGTTTGTACTCAAGCTGTGCAAACCTAATCACCTGAGTTTGAAGAGCCAGAATGCTCTGGCTCCATTTTGGCTAGCTTCTTTAGACAAGCCCAGAGCAAGCTCAGGCATATTGTATATGTAAAAGCCTTATACGGTATGAACAAAGACTTCTGACTCTAAAAGATATTAGCACATTCCAATGCCCTGAAGACAGCCCCTAGCAATCAAGACTCCCCGTACACAGGATATGGGGACATCCAATTATTTTAAAAAGATGCTTGGCACGTGCAGGTTTCTGTGGAGTGCCCCAATAAAAGCTCCTGCCTGCTATTGTTCGGGGCCAGACTCCATCTTTGGCTCATGAAGTCTGTGCCTGGCTAGCCACCATTTGGTGGTTGTCCTTTTTTTACTTTAAATTCTTGAATAAACTTTTTGTATAATCTTTTCATCTTTTTGGGTACCTGTGGGAATTATTCTCGATTCTCGAACCCTAACGTTGTGGGGGTTCGTCCGGGATTCGAGAATAGAGACCCCAGACCCACGGAAGTACCACCAGAGCTGGCCTTGGTAAATTCTCTCTCTCTCTCTCCCTCTCCCCTCCCCTCCCCTCCCCTCCCCTCTCCTCTCCTCTCTTTGGTAGTCCAGACATCCTGGGGCTCAACGGAGATCAGACGGACACACTATTGATGTCAGAGCTGGAGGAGAATGGGGGACGCCCTGACTCCTCTTCTGTTGAGGGGTCGTGCTCCAGTCTGACATGGAATCCAGGTGGGGCCGACCCAGAGTCTTGGCACAGTCGGACGTGGAATCTGGGCTGGCCAAATCTTTTTGGGACAGGAACAGGGGCAGCCTTCTCGGCTGACCCCACGCACTGCAAGATTCTCATTTCTCCCTCTAGGGAACTGCCATCTCATACTGTCCTCACCCTCTGCTCAGAGCTCCGCCTTGTCTATCAACTTTCCACCCTACTTCTCATTCTCATCCCTCTCCTTATATTCTTTTTTCTTGAAGCTTATCCCAGATGGGCCAGAAAGTCTCATCTTCAGCTCCCCTTGATCTAGTTCCTAGTCATTTTCAGGACTACAAACGACCAGTTTCAAACGTGTCTGGACTCCGTGTCAAGCCGACCCACCTCCAAATCCTCTGCACCATCAAATGGCCCTCTTTTGAAGTTGAATGACCGCCTGAAGGGTCCTTTAACCTGCCCCTCATCTACAGGGTTCAAGAAGTTATCTTCAGGGAACCGGGGCACCCTAACCAAATCCCATACATCCTAGGTTGGAAATATCTGGTTGCTGCCCCCCCCACCCCGACTGGCTGTGCCCCTTACTGCCGCCCCTGCCATTGGGGCCTAAGGGGCCAGCCACTTTGCTTCCCCTGAAGAAAGTCCAGACCAAAAACCCATCGGGTCCCAAGGTCCTTCCCTCAGCACCAGAGGAAGATTTACTCCCCAAGTTCACCCCATAGTTCACTGCGGAAGAACTGATTCCTGAAAGCTGTCCCCTAACCTCCATGCCTGTACTCACAAAATTTAAAAATAAATTAAGGTCAGATGTGGTGATACACACCTTGAATCCCAGAACTCAGAAGGTAGAGGTAGGCAGATCTCTGACTTTGAGGGCAACCTTGTCTACACAGTAAGTGCTAGACCAGCCAGAGCTACATAGCGAGATCCTGTCTCAATATAATTTTAGGGGCTGGAGAGATGACTCAGAGGTTAAGAGCGCTGGCTATTCTTGTAGAAGACCTGGGTTTGGTTCCCAGCTCAATGTTCCTAGCTAACAACCGTCCATAACTCACTCCAGTTCCAGGGGATGAGTGCATGTACATACACGCAAGCAATACACTCATATACATAAAATTAAAAAGTATTTTTAAATATATAATTTTAAAAAGACCCATGTTAAATTTATATTCTACTTATTTTCTAAAATATTCTCAATGAATTTTAATGAATTTTAACAAATCCACACTTTCTCCCTCTCTGTGAAAGCCAAGTATTACCCAGGAAGGGTGATAATAATAACAATGAAATGTAGATGAGCTTAAACAAGAACTTAATTTACCAAGTTTTTCCCTGAATGATTAGAGCAGGCTCTTCTACAAACTTGGTTTCAGACCACTTGCTGGTAGTGTTTACAATTTCCCCATGTATTCCAGGACTCTTTCCTGGCTAGGTGACGAGCACTGCCTGCAGTGTCCTCCTGTCTCTCACACTGTCTGCTTCTCTTCTACCTCATGCCTTGGCATAGCTTAACTTTGACTCGCAAACCTCAGAATTGGGAGCAAATTATCTAACAGAGCCAGATCACAATTTCCATTTTAGCAGTAAGTGGCATTTCACCATGGGGTGACATAGTAACCCCTGAGCATAAAGTGTTAGATTATAGCCTCAGGACTTCACTCATTTGCAAGATAAATAGATGACACTTTTGACCTGTCTTGGGAGCTTATAAGTATACAGCTGACACTGGACAGTAATTATTTAATGTGAAAAAAAATTACTAATCAAAAATTTAGTAAGAGATACACTGAAAATGTTTAAATTTTGAAGTCTTTCTTGAACCAAAACACTACTTCTAACTTCTCTCAGTTATTGAAAGAGAAATATATTGAACCCAGATTTAGATTATAGGTAAGATGAACTCTTAATTCAGAGAACTTTAGTTAGATGGCAACCTTTTATTTGTCTTTCAAGGGAACAATAGAGCATTAGCAAAGAATGAATTAAATGTCAAGTTTCACATGTTGGAACCAGATTTGGCTCATGCTAATGAAGGTCCCTTTGTGATAAGCTTGTTCTTTTTGTACAATCTTCAGTGCAACCTTAAATTACCCATTCCTGAAGAATCAGATTACTGTACTGAATTGTTTTCATAACAAGTTGAATGTTCGTGGAATATATGGAGTGTCACTCGTGCACCATGTGATAAATGAATATCTAGAAACAGACTCAACACTGAAACACTTAAAAGCAATTTTCAAGGATGGTTCCACATATTACATATACAGGGAAGCACTAGACAGGTTTATTTTAAAATCATAAACAATTCCAAACATTTATTAAACCACATCACTTAACAGAAAGTCTGGAATTGTGATCATGTTCCCAACTCATTTTTATTATCCTGATTTATTATCCTGAACATCATTTCCTTCAATCCCAAAGAAAGGCAAAATATAATAAAATGAAAACAGCATTCAGGCTGGTAAGGGAAGACACCAATTTAAGCTTTTCTCTCTGACAGGATATTTGGGCTGTCTTGATACGTGAGAGGACAGAATACTCTTGAATGTAGACTTAACACTTTTTACTTTCTCCTATCAAAAAGTACCATGTTTTGGGCATCATTTTTTGTTTGTTTTCTAGACAGTCTTGGTGTATTTGTATTGTCCCCCAACCCTTCTTCCTCAGCCTCCTGAGCAGCTGAGACTACAGGACCAGGTGCCCAGGGTGGGTACCATTTTTAGCACTGCAAACTGTTCACTAACATACCTCTTCCCCATTTCTTTTTAGACAAGATTTGGTGACAAATGGACTTTGGCACATATACAAGTCTAATAACCATATATTACATATGTACACCTCTCCCATATACATTCCATAGGTAATCCATAAAGTCCTCCAGTTGAGTAATAAATCCTGATTAGGTTCATCTGCAATTAACATTCAGTAAACCTTAGAAGTTCTACTCCTATAATTTTTGTTAAATTTAATAAGAATGTTTTTATTTGAAGATAATTGTAGAATTCTCAGAATTATACACTGAAATTGTTTATAAATAAATACATAAATTCTCATTTATACCAAGAAGCTGGTTTATATCTTTATCTTAACAGGGGAAAACAATTTTATTTAGAGATTCATATAAAAATAACAGTTGGTTGAAGAGGTCTAAGAAAATGTTGACTTTTAAAGTTTCACTTATTTTCCTTGAGGCTCTAAATTATCACGTATGATAAACCAAGATCATATAAAAGTTTAGGGTTAGATTCCAAAATAAAGCTTCAGTTCAAAACCTTTCCATAATTTTCAAGACTTCTTTTTCCCTCATAGCTAAGTAATTTTAAGCAACTAAACTTTGAACTGTAAGGTTTCATCCAGGTAAGTTTTATATACCTGTCTGTGGGGAACCACAATTCTGCCTGTCCTGTATCTCCAGGAAGTACTTGTCTCCCAAGAACTAGGCCACATGTCCCTTCACTAGGAGTACAGCTTAATACCTGGTGTTTAATTACTAATTGGGTGCAACTGGCATTTTAAAAAGATTTAGTAATGCCTATTACAAATAACTTATCTGGAAAGACTCAATAAAAATAACTAGCGAAACTTTAAAAGAACCATCTGTTTAATAACATATAAATATAAGAATGAATCAGTGTGACCAGAGTCTAGAAGTTCCTGGGTTAATTATAACAGCATAGTAACGGGCCTTTCAAGGTACTTTTTGAACTCAGCAAGCCACTGGGCTCCAACTGCTCCATCCACAACTCGATGATCACAGCTGAGTGTAACAGACATCATGCTAGCCACATCAAATCTAGGAAAAGTAAAATCGTTATTAGGTCTTCTGAGAGGAACTGATGAACTTTAAACAATAACTACCCTTAGGCTGAAACCTGCCTTAAAATGCTGCCCAGGTAATTTTCCATTTGTTCAACCGTTCGTTCTGGGGGTTGAATTTAGGGGCCTCTCATATGCTAGACAAATGCTTTACTACTGAGTGATATCTCCAGGCCTCGATAAAAATTAATTATTTTTAAATTTCTGAGACAATGTCTTGCTAAGTTGACCAGGCTGGTCTTGAACTTCCCACATAGTCCAGGCAAGTTCTGAACTTGCAATTGTTTTGACTCGGCCTCCAGAGTAGCTGGGACTATAGGTCTGCACCATGAAGCCTGGTTCCATCTACTCTTTATCTTTAGCTCAAACTGAGAGCATGACAAAACAGACTAAACATAGGCCTGGGAACTGATACACTGTACAAGGGCCAAATTCTGCTATTTTAATAAGGTTGCTTTTTCTAGAAGTCATTAATGTATCATTTGTGGCTGCTCTCATACTATAATGGGAAGGACTCTGCAACAGACCATATGGCCTAGAAAGCCAAAAATATTTACTACCTAACTCTTTAAGAAAAAGTGTGCCAACCTCTCATCTAGAGTAAATCTTGAATAAGATTGCATCTCAAATATGACTCACTGCATTTAGCCAAGTAAAAGTTGCTTTCTTAGGCACTTATTTTTTTTTTCGTCTTTTTGAGACAGGGTCTCCCTGTAACCCCAGCTGTCCTGGAACTCACTATGTAGACCAGGCTGGCCTTGAACTCACAGAGATCCGCCTGCCTCTGCCTCCCAAATTCTGGGTAAAGGCGTGCGCCACCACACTTGGCCATCTTAGGCATTTTATCCTATATTAATTGACTGCTTAAAGCCATTTCAATAGTGTAACACAAATTAGCTCTAACTCCTTCTCCACTTCTGCACTTACCCCTTTTCATTATCTGCTGGGACCAGTTTATCCTCTGAAGCACCAATTGCCAAGATACATGCCTGAGGTGGGTTAATAATGGCAGAGAAGTTCTTAATTCCAAACATTCCTAAATTGGAGATTGTAAATGTTCCACCCTAAAGGAAAAAAGAGTCAAAACAGATCACATTTGTTTATCAACATAAAAAAAAATCACACCTGTTCTCTGAGAAGACCGTAAGATCATCTTTTACTGTTTTAAGGAAGTCTTGAGTAGAACACACATTACAATATAAACCAAAGTCAACTGTGCTGGCTTTTTCACACAATTTGGAAAATACCCTTTTTTTCAGTCTTTGCCATGCAACTCAATTTTTATTTTCAAGACTTAGTGCCAGTAGAGTATATGGCAGAATGAAAATGGAAAATATAAGAAGAGCATGAGGCTGAACTTGAAAGTAACATTCCCTTAGAGGTCTGGAAGAGTGTGGTACCTGGAACTCATGAGGCTGCAGTTTACCCTCTCTCGCTTTGGTTGCTAAAGAAACAACATCGTTAGCAATGGTCTCCAGTCCTTTTATATGTGCATTAAACACAATAGGAGTGATGAGTCCTGCAGGAGTACTGACAGCAACGCTGACATCAACCACATGATTTCTGTTGAAAAAGAAAATGAAATCTAACTCAATGGCATCAAGGATTATTACAAGAAGAAGGGCTGAGGATGTACCTCAGTGATGGAGAGGCCTTGGGTTCCACCCCCAGAGCTGCAAAATAGGAAAAACAAACAAGTGTCAGGTTAAGCAAAACAGGAACCTTGGCTATTCAAACACTGTTGGTGCTAAAGACATAGCTTAGTGATAACAGTATCTGCCTACACACAACATCCTGGTCTCATCCCTGTACCACCACCATAAAAAAGATTTTTAGAAATAACTTCAGCTATTGTTCAGAAATGTCTTCCTTGCTTTTTAATCTTTTAAGATTTATCTTATTTTATTTTATGTGCATGAGTGTTTGGCCTGCATGTAGCTATGTATGTACACTTGTGTGTGATGCCCAGAGACACCAGAAGAGGATGTCAAATCCCCTAGAACTGGAGTTACAGATGGCCATGAGCTACCACGTGGATGCTGGAAACCAAACCCGAGTCCTCTGCAAGAGCAGCCAGTGCTCCTAACTGCTGACCCATTTCTCCAGCCCTCTACTTTTTGACATTTTGATGTGTCTTCTCCTTCACTTAAACTTAGAAAAATGGAAGGAGGTAGTGGTGTCTAAGAAGAAACTTAATGCAGGATTCCAATTTTTTTCTTGAGTAGATCATCAGAGGCCCCTATCCACCTGGGTACCATCTCAAAATTTTATTTGTTGAGACAGGTATGTAGGTCAGGCTAGCTTAAACTCATTCATCTGTACCCTTTATAATATTCTTTACAGTAAAACAGTAAACAAGTATTTCCCTAAGTTCTGTGAGTTATCCTTGTCAAAGGGGTTACAGGAACCTCAGTTTGTAACCAGTTGGTGAGAAATAAATGTGGTTATATTTGAAGGAAGCACTGCAAAGGGGGGCAGCCATGTGGGACTGAGTCCCCAATCTCTGAGGTCTGACACTCTCTCCAGGTGCACAGAGTTACAATGGAACTGGCCACCTAGCTGCATTTCACAACAAAACTGACTGCTCAGCTGATGTGTGAAGACAATCCCACAAACATAGACACCTGGTTATAAAAGTGATACTATGAGTGTACAAGAATAGAGAAGAAAGGAAAAAGATAATTGTAATAATATAAAGTGCTTACATACTAGAAGGCAGGCTCGTGAGTAGGAATCCTGACACTTATTAACACTTAACTCATAAAGCAGTCTTGAGGATTTAATGAAATGTGAAACACCAAGTACCATGCCAGCTATGTGCCACCACACCTTCAAATACTTTTCAACATCACCTCTGAAGTTAGGCAGAAAATCAGTGATTTTTTTGTGATTGTTTTGTGAAAATCATAAGACAAATCTTCACACTGATCTTTTACTGAATTCATACAGAACATCTGCAACCTTCACAAACTAGAGTGCTATCTCATCTGTCATTTACGTTGTTTCAAACTGCTTCACCTATTAATGTCAATCCCCCTCGAATTTCTAGTTACACATTAGCAGACATAAGGAAACTACTGATCAATATTCACATTCTCCACTTATACTTACTGTCTTATAACTGTGTCCATCCAAGAAGAATTTGCCTCAGGAACTTTTAAACAAGCCAAAGCTGAAGCTTTTATGAGAAAATCATTGACAGAGATTTTGCTTTTCCCTTCTAGCATCTGTAATGACAACAAAGTTGTATTACTTTCTCCTCAAAACCTGAAATTATGAGTGGAATCTCAGGAAGGGACTGAGGACAAAAGCACACAAATGACTTGAGATGGAAAGAATGAACCAAAAAGTGGTTCTTTGCCCTTAACGTAGGCTCTAACTGCCTACCCTATGTAGTGCTTGGCACAACCTAAACCTAATCCCGTAAATTATGGCATATTCTCATTTTCAGTCATCTCAATAAAACCAAACTGGTTCTTTGAAAAGATGACCAAATGACAACAATAACAAATGTCTGACTGACCAAGAAAAAGGAGACTCAAATTCCTAAAATCAGGAGTGAAAGTGGGGACTTAGTATCAATACTATGAATAACTAAATACCAAAATATCAGATGACCTAGATTAAATAGAGAAGTTCATAGAAAGAAACAAACCTAACGTGAACCAAGAAGGACTATAAACTCTGAATAAACATGAGAGGTTAAATTGGAAATGGAAAACTATCCACAAGAAGATTAGACCCAAATGGTTTCATTGGCCAACTCTACCAAACATTTAAAGAATAATACCAAATCTTCACAAAGCTTTCTAAAAAATATATAAAGAGCAAGCTAACTATTCCTCACTCATATTATCATTAGTAAGGTCAGTAGTAAGTAGTCTGATTCCAAAACCAGACAAAAACCTAATAGTTAAAAAATTTACATGTTGCCAGGCGTGGTGGGCACATGCAGAGGCAGAGGCAGAGGCAGGCAGATCTATGAATTTGAGGCCAGCCTGGTCTACAAAGTGAGTTATAGGTCAGCTGGGGGCTACAGCAAGAGACCCGACTCAAAAAAAAACAAAAAAAAAACAAACCCAAAAACAAAAACAAAAAGAACACCCAAAACAGCTAACAAACAAACAGATACACAATTTAGGGGAGAAAAAGTAAACCATTATTACCAGATAACATGATCTTGTATACAGAAACTCCTAAGGAATAATTTAGAAAACTACTAGAAATGAGTCAGAGCAGTTACAAGATACAAGAGTAATATAAAAAACAAATAATATTTTTTCTATACCAGAGCAGCAACAATGATCAATCTGAAAATGAAATATAGGAAACAATTCCAGCTAGGCTCAGGGCTTATGCTCATAATCCCAGTACTTAAGGGGCTAAGGCAGAAAGATCACTTGGAATTCAAGGATAGCCTGGGCTACAGAGAAGACCTTACTCAAAACAGGACAAAACAAAACAAAACACCCACAATCAATCAAACCAAAACCAAGAATTCCTTTTACAATAGTATCAAAAAGAACAAGCTGAGCATGGTACACTCCTTTAATCCCAGCACTCAGGAGGCAGAGGCAGGTGGATCTTTGTGAGTTTGAGGCCAGCCTGGTCTACATAGCATTCCAAACAAGCCAGGGCTACACAGTGAGACTGTGTCTCCAAAATAAATGTTAAATAAATAAATGAATAAATGAAACACATGGGAATAAACTTAACAAGAGAAGAATAAAATAAGGTGTGGTGGGGCTGGAGAGATGGCTCACTCTTTAAGAGCACTCGCTGCTCTTGCCAAGGACATGGATTTGGTTCCCATATGGGTTCCCATAACACCCACATGGCAGCTAACAACAGTTCCTAACTCAAGTTCCAGGGGATCTGATGCCTTCTTCTGGTCTCCATGGGCACTATACCCATGTGATACACTTACATACATGCAAGCAAAACACTCATACACATAAACTAAATTAAACTTAAAAAAAAATCAGGTGTGGTGGCACACACCTATGTCCCTAAACACTAGGGAGACTGAAGCAGGAGAATCAGGAGTTCAAGGCCAACATAGCCTTTCACTCTACAGTGAAACCCTGTCTTAAAACAAAACAAAAACAAAAAATGTAAAACTAAATAAATGCCAATACAGCCCATAATCATAAATGGGAAAACTTAACTATTATTAACTGGTAACTAGGATTAGGGAGAAAGCTCAGTGGGTAAAGGTGCTTGCTACCAAGACTGATAACCTGAGCTCCAGCCCCAGAACTCACATGGTGAGAGAACCAACCCCATGAGTTGACCTCTGACCTCCACAGGTATGCATGGCATACCACCCCACCCCCACTCAAAATAAATAAGTGGGAAAAATGGTAATAATCCTAAAATTGATCTATAAATTCAATGCAATATTTATCAAAATCTCAACTGGCTTTCTTGTAGAAACTTGTAAGCTAATCTAAAATTTATTTGCAATTGCAAATTACCCATACCAAATAATCTTGAAAAAGAACAAAGACTCACATTTCCTGATTTTCAAATTTACTATAAAGTTAACAGTAATCAACACTGACAAAACGTAGATAGAAAGACCAGTGGAACAGAATCAAGAATCTAAAAATAAACTCCCATATAATCAACTAATTTTTTTAAAGTATGCTAAGAAAATTCAATGGAGAAAGATTTTTTTCAAATAGTGCTGGGACAAGGGAATGTCTACATGCAAAAGAATGAAGTGAATTCCTGCCCATACCACACCTCAAACTAACACCCAAACAGATTAAAGTCCAGAATGCTAGAGTTAAATCTATACAACTGTTACAAGGAAACATAGGTCTAAATCTTCATATCTGAGGTTAGACAATAGTTTCTTTAAAAATCCTGCCATTAGGGAATGCAGAGCAAAACCAAGCTGGAGAGATGGCTCAGTGAGCGGTTAAGGGCACTTGTTTTTCCAGAGGACCTAAGTTCCGTTTCCAGTACCCACGTCCAGCATCTCACAAGCACTTATAACTCTAGCTCCAGGGGCTCTACTGCCTTCTGACCTCTGCCATGACACACATGCTCATCTGCACATACATTCACACAGACACACACAATACATATAATAAAATAAATCTCTGTAGTCATCTAGAAAGCTCTGGCTGATTCCCTCATGACTCAGTTACGTCTCATACATGTGTATACTCCACGCTGGATATATAACGCTGAAGCCCTGGGTATGAAACAAGGAACAAAATGGATAAAAATTCTGCTCTCAGGGAGCACATGTTCTAAACAGGATAAACAATGGTGAAACATACAGAATCTTAGAAAAATACAGTGGAAAAGATGAAAAGCTGAACTAAAGAGGGGTAGAGGAAGAGAAAGTTAAATGAAGAGTAAGGAAGATCAGTCAAAGTGGTATTTGTCAAGTCCTTAAGGAAGAAGGAAGAAGCCACGTGGACACTGTGGGCTCTACACTGAGAGAGCCCAAGTGCAGAGAGTGTAGGAAGACATGTTGGGGAATGGCAAGAAAACCAGTGTCTGTAGTGGTGTGAGCAAGAGGGAAAACAGAGGGGGGAGAGGTCAGAGAGGTTAGATGTATCCTGTAAAAGGCCCTTCATGCCACTCTAAGGACTTGGGGGAGGGGGCTACTGCTATTTTGAGGCAGGGTCTCAGGTAGTCCAGGGTGGCCTTCACCTCTCCATCTTCCTGCCTATATTTCCCAATACTCTCACTAAGGCCCAAGGGGCTCGCTCTTTCTTTCTTTCTTTTTTTTTTTTTTGTTCAACGGGGTCTCACTATATAGCCCATGCTGGCTAAACTTAAAATCCCCTTACCTCAGATTCCCAATTTCTGGAACTATGCGTATGTAACACCATACTCGACTTCAGACTCCATGACTAATAAAGATCCTCTTTTTTGGTATTTTTGAGAGAGGGTGTCCCTGTAGCCCCAGCTGGCCTGAAACTCGCTATGTAGACCAGGCTGGCCTTGAACTCACAGAGATCCTTCTGCCCCTGCCTCCCAAGTGCTGGGTTTAAAGGCGTGCGCCACCATGCCCGGCTTGTGAAGATCCTTATTACTATCACTTCATGCTTAGATTCCAATGCAATCCTAACTACTATCTGCTAGTAATACAAACCTGTTCAAGGTAATCTGTCTCTACATAGGCTATGACTTATTTCCAGTCTGTGTGTCTTTGTGTATGATCTATGTACATATGTACACACAAGCTTGTACAAGCCAGGGATCAACAATGGTGTCATCACTCCCTGCCTTATTTTCTGAGACCAGGTCTGTCACTGAACCTGGAGCTCACTGATCTAGCTAGACTAGCTGGCTAGCAAGCCCCAGGGATCCTCCTGTCTTTCCTTTCCCAGTGCAGGGATTTACAAGCACACTAGTTGGCCAGAAATCTGATGTGGTTTCTAGGGATCCAAACTTAGATCCTCACATTTTTACAGCAAACACTTCATGGATAGAGCCATCTCCAACTACATTTCCACTTTTAAGACTTTAATCCTTATGATTCTCAAGCATTAGAATGAATTTTCTTCAGCCTCTCTGTCAATCCAAACACGTCTTATTTTCTACAATTCAACAAAGTTTGTCTTATGGTATTATGAAGCCAGGTGTGTTGATGCACACCTTTGATCCCAGCACTCAGGGGGCAAAGGCAGGTGGACCTCCATGAGTTCCAGGTCAGCCTGGTCTATATAATGAGTTCCAGACCAGCTTGGTCTATATAGTGAGTTCTAAGCAAGCCAGAGCTAATAAAGGGGGGGGTGCGCAGATTGCACAACTTTCTCGGGAAGCAGAGGCAGGCAGATCTCTGTGAGTTCAAGGCCAACATGGTCTACACAGCGAACTCCAAATCAGCTGAGGCTACAGGGAGACCTTGTCTCAAAAAGACAAAAAAATGATAATAATAATTAACTAAATAAAACATTGTGAATTCCCCAGCTATCACTTGTCTCCCCAACCTTCTGAACATGGGCAACACTTAACTTACACACTGTAAAATTTAAATTTAGCAGACAATCAAGGGGCAGTATCATAGAAACTGATCTACAAATAAATGCTGTCACTTTTATAAAACTATCTTCCTTCTCTTTCATATGTATTATCTCCCCAGTTCAAGTATAAACTCATAAAAGTGCCTTACAGTAAACACTAAATAGGTATGTGGTATTTGACTATAAATACAAAGTAAATATAGTATTTCTTAGCTAGCAAAATAGACTCAAATATCAAATAGTAAATTTGCTAGGCTAAAATCTAGGCAGGAGGACAAGTTCAAAATAGCCTTGGTTATATGCATTTCCAAGCCAGTGTGAGCTACATAGTGAGAACCTGTCTCCAAAAAAAAAA